AAAGATTTGTGTAGGTTTAAGATTTGAAATAAAAACAAATGTTCGTTTTGATATTTAACAATGTTGTTATCCATAAATATATTTAAAATTTTATTTGAAATAAATATGACGTTTTCAATATTAAGAAAAAGTCTAAATTTTTCTTTAATATAACATGCAATTAAATAAAGTCTGAACAAACAAGACAACAATATTATAATAACTTTATAATAAGTAACGCTTGTTTAGATGTATTTATATATAAATATAATAAATTATAAGAAAGTGTTTTATATTTAATCAATGAATTGTGATTGAATTTAGAAATAATAATAATAATAATAATAATAATAATAATATATTAAATTTTCAAGCGTCTTTTATAAAGTACTATAAATATTTTTCAGAAAAATAATAATATTTTCTTTTTTTTTTCTTCTTCTTCTTCTTTTATAAAAGACTTTATAACTTTTTAATTCTACAATTCTAAAATAAAACCTAATGTTGTAATATTTTTTGTATTGAAAGAAAAACTAAAATGATCAGCATTAATGTGGCCTCTTGAACAATCCTTCAGTTCTGCTTATCGAACTCTCAGATTCCATTGTTACTCTACCACGATTGCTTAAGAAGTCTCTTATGTGTTGTACTATCAAATCTATTGCCACTGTAACAAAGGTTTAACGAATCAATATACGGTTAAAGGTTATTTCTTCAATAATTGAAAAATGTTCTTTAATGTTTTTATTATGATATTATATTACATACACGTTTATCTAAAGTATATCAAATTATGCAATGTATATTGTTCAATTTACATTTGCGTTTACTGAGAACGAGGTGGTACTTTTTAATAATATATATTTCTTTATTTTATTTTTTTTAATCTTTTTTTTTTTTTGTTTCTATTCGACTATTTAGCTGTATAATAAGTAAATTACCAAAAGAGAATAAAATTATATAATATATAAATAAAAAATTTTTTTTTAAGTACATATATAAAATTGTATCTAATAAAATAATTATTAAATGTACATGTGTGTATATATTTATATATACTTGTTAAAATAATGAAATTAAAGGTAAAATTATGCTCCTAACATATGAAATTGTTAAATATTAAGTTACTTAATTATGCACATTTACGCTTTTCATGATCAATTGTATTATGAAAAATTGAATGGACATGATTAAAGGAAAAATATTAAAATTTTTACAAACGAAAGTGCATAATATCGATTTGTATGAGCATGAACACATATGTATAAAATACTTAAAGCTATATCTCTTTCTAAATATTAATACTTGGGACGCTTTTCTTTTATAAAGATACAAACGTGCATATATCTATTAGACGGTAATATAAACATACAACATACCATATGTAAAATAAAAGCTAACATTAATAAAAAATTTCGAAATGCTCTCTTTCTCTTTCTCTCTCTCTCTCTTTCTCTCACTTACTCTCATACCTGTCTCCATTGTATTAGTTTGGTAAAAGAAATGGTTTATGAAATAGTATTACTTGCTACAAATGTAATGCAAAATTTTATTATATTTAAAAAAAAAGAAAAAAAAAAAGAAATATGTTGTATTAAGGTTAATTTATGATTACCATTTCTAAAGTGACAAGTATAAGCACATAACATTGACTTAATATGAGCGAACTAGTGCGTATGTAGTATGTAACATATTACACGTACACTCACACACGCACAGAACGAACATAATAAGTATAAAAAAGCAACGAATGCGAGGTTACTGCGTAAGAAATATGCAGTTTACTAAGTGCAAAAGATGCAGTGCATGTAATCAATATCATCGTGTGTTATTTTCTCAAATCATATGCTGAGTGTGTCGGATGAAGCCAAAGTACGCCTATGCTGACAGATGTATGGATGCTGCCCGGTTGATTTTTCAGCCTTTTTCAAGCGTAAAATGTCCCAGATGTGGTGCACTATTAGATCTATTGCCACTGCAAACATACAATAACCAAAACCATGTATGCTTTTAGAAGATGCCATTAATTTTCTGCTTTAATTGTATGTATTAAAGCGCGTCGATAAGTTGAAAATAATATTATCTTTACACACCAGGCAGCATCCATAACGGGCAACAAAATTTACTGAAGTATGTGTAATTAATACATAATATAATATAATAAGTGCTCTGAAAATCCAATCTTGCATCCGAACAATTTATACAACAACTTATTTACAAAATAATTATTTAAATATACTTCAAATAAAATATCACACACAATTTTAATACTTTAATATTTTTTATATATGTCGGATACAAGATGGATGATTGTATGATAAAGCAGTTTGAAGTAATATTTTGCAAAAATTAAGTTATTATAAAAAATATTTTACTAACTAAAAATAAATATATAGTTAAAGATTTTCAAACAAAATTTAAATAATAAAATATGATCATTAATCTAATAATAAATATCTCTAAATAGTCTAACCATCTAATAAAATTGAATTTTAATTATAATTATTTTTTTATCATATCAAGAATTTAATTTGTTTTTAATATCGTATTTATTTGATATTTAATATATATAAAAAAAATAGTTACCTGTATTATCTGCTCCTCTAGGTATAATAACGTCGGCAAATTTTTTTGTAGGTAAACAAAACTCTTCGAATGCCGGTTTCACATAATTCATGTATTGATTTAATACGTAATCTAAATCCCTTCCTCTTTCATTTATATCTCTGGGTACTAAAATAAACATTATTATTATTATTATTATTATCATCATGATCATCATTGTTTATAACTTAAATATTATATATATGCGTGCATGTGCTTTTATTACCCCTTCTAGCTAATCTGGTGTCCGAGTCTGTATCTACAAATAACTTCATATGAAATAAGTCTCTTATTTTGGGAAAGTAGAAAACTAGAATTCCTTCGAACAAAACTACATCTGCGGGGTATATTGTTGTTACCTGATCCTTCATTCTAGAAAAAAAATATACAAAATTGTACATACTATATTATATATATATAGAGAGTGTCCGATAACTGATGATACAAGCAAGCTGATTATATGCGAAGGACTGAATTGAAAATATAGAATACAATTTATTCGAATAAACATATACTTGGTCTAAATTCAACTTAACAAATTTCATTATCTTACTCTAGGATATTTTGAAACGCATTCTTTTGGTTCTTAACACTTAACCAACTAGTAATGGTTTTATTTTCAAACTGACTAATTTTCAAACTTAGTTTTTTGAAAATGAAGCTTTGTGTGAACTAATATTTTTGTCTTAGTTTTTCATGTATAATTACATCTGCTCGGTTATACCATCAATTACAGGATACCCTGTATATGTTACTGTTACTTTGTTAAATCCATTAATTCGTGAAATAACTATACCAACCAGGTAAAATATGAAATAAAGCAGAATTACATACTTCAACTAAATGTAATATGTGAATTTGTAATCGGTGAATAGTTAAAGTATAAAATTGGTATTTGAAACATCTTTAAGGTCAGCTTTTGTTTCTACGACAATACTCATCATTATGTATTTGAAAACAAATGTTCTGTTAGTTTTGCATTGTTCTATCGATTTTGAATATACTACGTTGAAATCTATTATAGTAATAGTTTGTAGAAATAGATTCAATTCAAGAAAACTTTGCTGAAAAATTGAAAGCTTGAAAAATCCTCGGTAAACATACAAAAAGCACGTGGAGTAAGTAAAAGTGTTAAAGTTTCTGTTTGCAAAAATTACAACAATTTTTGGTCATTGAAGCGCTATGATGTTATTCAGGTCGTAGAAATGGAAATTTACCATGAAAGCCAAATGTGCTGTAATAAATGAATTTTTGCCGATAAGACCAAACCAACAACTCATAATAGAATCATGAAACAATAATAACTACATACCTACTATTACTTCATCAAACAACTATTTAAAATATATAATATAAAATTCTTTTTATATATATATGCTTTCTTTAAAATACTCAGTTATGTCATAAATTAACTGAATTATAAATTTTTAACAGTAACATATATATATATATGTATACATAGCAGTTTTTGAAATGTTTATCGGAACATACAAACTGTTAGTTCTGTAATCATAAACTGGTATCTGGCATTTGACACCTGCAAGTATATCTTGCAAAGTTAACAAAATCATATCGTTATCAAATGCATCTGGATGATCAAAATTGTACTGTCCTTTCTCGGCCTTTAATTTTTCAGCTGGTGTAAGTTCACGATAGAAACTATCTTGCGATATGCAAACAACTCGTCGTTGCATATGATCCATATCGACCTGACCCAGTTTTTCCATTATACGTTTGCATACCGTTGACTGAATAAAAAAACAAATAAATTAAACATGTATATATCTATATATAATAAAAATTATTTAATGTTATTCTTTTTTTTTCTTTTCAAGATACTTATTATTATTTTGAAGAGAAAAAAGAAAGAAAGGTTAGAACTTTGTAAAAACTTTACTTACCTTTCCACTGGCTGTACCACCCGAAACTCCAATTAAAAAAGGTGTTTTACCTTCAACACCATTCAATTTTCCATTAAAACCAAAAGACATTTTACGTGTTGTGCCAGAATTTATGGACATGTAAGCCATTATTTGAAACACTTTAAACAAGTGATTTGTGAACAAATGATATTACTACTGGATCGATACAAAAAAAAAATTTAAGTAAAAAAAAAATATCTAATTTGTATCCAATAATTTACAAGTGTCGGCGGACATATATACGACGAACAAACAAATAAATACGCAGCGTAGGATCATGGATATGCACTTTCTAGCAATACTATTATATATCTATATATATACACATATGTATAGTAAAAAAGAGTCGTAGTGAATGCCGGTTATACTAAAGAACTTGTACACACTTTGTTTTTATAGGTTATATTATATTATCCATTTGTTTTATATAACTTTGTTATTATATTTATATATTAAAATATTTTCTTTTTAACAAATATATATATTATTACGATTATAAATACATCATTTTATATGTAAAATTGCAATTAATTAATCTACATTTGTACATCAAAAGTGAAATAAGTTACAATATGCGTAAGAAAATTGATTTAATGGCATGGATGACGTCATCGTGCACCACTAGTACCACCACGTGACTAGTTTCCTTTATTTACTGTTATTTGTTTATATAATTTTTTAGGTAATAATGTGTAATTACGATGTTTCTTTCTCTCGAATAAATTATTCGTATTTTTTTTTTAAAACGTGACATGTATATAATTATTTAACAAACAAAAAAAACAATGTGTCTTTTCTCGATAGTATGGGATTTGTACGATTTCAATTTTCTATCGCTCGTATATTTGAAATCACATGTCTCAGAATTGCGGTAAGAATTATCTAATTATCTTTTTTTTTTTTGGCTATTTATCTTTTTTTGTTTTATCAGCAACGATGATAAACTTTGAACTTGTAATGTAAGATTAAGTATACAAAACACAAATATTTTTTCAATATTTTAATCTATAATTTGTAAGTGATAATATAATCAATGAATTTTCTAATGTATACTTTATTGCAGAAAATTGTAAAGAACATGTATAAAGAGCGTTCCAGTTATACCATTAGAAATTACCATGTAAGTTTTATTTTATTGTTAAAAAATATTATATTTCACTTTTTTATCGTTTCTTTATAATATTACGTAATTTTTACATGTTCAACAACGTGATTGATATGTTATATTAATTTTGAATAACTCAAATTTTTTAAAATAATATATTTTCTTTTCAATTAGATAATGATAAATATAAATTAATTGATTATTTTTACAGGATGCTATTAAAAAGTTACAGTGTCTTCAAAGTAATGGTACATATATCAAAATTAATGCAAATAATCCAACAAGAAATGTGGCCAAATTGAAGGATATGGAAAAATATTTAAATAGGTATAAAATATATTTTTTAATTATTCATTAAGAAAATCCTTTGGATCGTTAATATTTAATAATTAATAATTTTTGTGAGACGTGCGATAGTCGGACAAAATTTTTAGCTAAATTACGGCATATAATTTACAATAGTTTTGTAGTTGACAATGAACATAGTTAGATTCTCTTATTTTTTTGTGTATTTCAATATAAGAAATGTTACATTCTTCATCAATATATAATGCTTATTGTCATTTGAGTTCTTTAATTTATAAACAAATGAATCAAGTATACTTTCTTATTATTAGTATCATAATATTGAAGTTATGTGTGATATATAATTTAAAATATAACTAAAAATATAACTTAAAATAACAAAAGTGCATTTTTACTAAAACTTAGTTCACAATAACACAATTAATTTACTTTAATTAACAATTGTTGCATCAAACTTTTTTTGAAGAAACTTACACCATGTGTCAACTAATAATAACCATAATGACTGACATTTTTCATACATTATACAAGCTTATGATATTATATTTAACACGTTACAAAAATCATTCGTTGCTGTATTGGTGGTCATATTCTTCTACAGTTTCATTAATGTTTAATTGGTGGCCAAATGTAATATGATGATTCAGAAAAAATAAATTTTATACAGCTAATCTCACACGTGCTTTTTCTTAGCCATTGAAATATGACTTAAAGATGGAATATAAATTCTTCTGTTTTATATTATTTAATAGTAATGCGCACTTAGTTTACATTTAACTTGGTGTATTTTAGTGTCTTATTCTTAGATATTTTTATATTTCTTAATATGTTTCTAAATATTGTCACAAAATAATCAAATCTTTTGTATTGGTTTTACTCTTATGCTTATTAAACAAGGCTTTTAGTTTCTAGGGTTACTTCAGCTCTGTCTTGTACACATATACTGGACAAATTTTCAAACTTGTGAATTTTTCGCGTAAAATCATCCCTTGCTGAATTTATGGGACACTTATTTGTTTTATTTTATTACGGTACACATAATAAATGAATTAAAAAGCATCAATTGCGAAACGATGTAGGAGAACGTGTTGCCTATATTCAGCTAAAAACTTTGAAATGACCTAGGAAAACTTGTGTTCTCCATTGCGAAAGTGTTAATAATAATTCGTTGGTTTTGGCAGGTCTGGTATTAGCTTGGAACAACTGGACGAGCTCTCTGTTATACATGTAGCCGGTACCAAAGGAAAAGGTTCGGTTTGCGCTTTTACAGAATCCATATTGCGAGCGCATGGATTTAAAACTGGTTTTTATAGTTCACCTCATTTAATTACCGTTAAAGAAAGATTTAGGATAAATGGTAATCCTATCGATGAAAGAGATTTTGCTTATTATTTTTGGAATTTGTATAAAAAATTAGATAACTTGAAAGAATTTGAATCTGACATGCCAATGTATTTCAAATTTCTTACTATTTTAATGTTTAATATGTTTTTACGAGAAAATATAGACGTAGCAATTATAGAAGTTGGAATAGGTGGAGAATATGATTCAACCAATGTCATAAGAAATCCTGTATGTGTTGGTATAACGAGTTTAGCGTTAGAACATACTTCTATTTTAGGAAATACGATAGAAGAAATAGCATATCAAAAAGCAGGTATTTTCAAGCCAAATACAATTGCGTTTACGGTACCTCAACAAAAAGAAGCTTTAGAAATATTGAAACAAAGAGCAATCGAAAGGCAAACCGTTTTAAACGTTACTCCATCCTTTCAGGATTATAAATGGAAAAATAACGTATTAAATAATACAAGGTTTAGTCAAATTCAACAACAAAATGCGTCTTTAGCAATACAGTTAGCAATTCAATGGATGCAATCTCGAATGAATCCAAATCATTCTTTGATAATTAATAAGAAACTTAATAACAATTTAGAGAGCAATAATGTACAAACGAATAATATTAAAGGTAACAATATTGAAGAAGAAAAATATATATCATTTGAAAAAATTACAAGTGCATTATCTCGTTGCGTGTGGCCAGGACGACAAGAAATTTTAAAGGGTACTTTATTTGATTTTTATTTGGACGGTGCTCATACTATGGAAAGTATGGATTGTTGCATCTCTTGGTTTAGTAATCAAATAGAAAACGTTAATGGTAAACGATATTTGATTTTCAACATGATCGGTAAACGCAATGTGTCTCCGTTTATAAAATCATTGAAAAAGATTCAATTTCATAAAGTTTATTTTGTGCCTAATCTTTCTGGAATACCGGAAGTAGATATTCAATCGACGACCATTTCGATAAATGAACAAAAAAACAAATGTCAAGAGTATTGCAAAATGTGGGGAGAACATTCCGTTGTTGCAGAAAATGTAATGGAAATTTTTAATGATATTAAGATGGAACATGCAGTTGAGAAAGCTAATATTAGTAAAGATAGATCTCAAATACTTATTACTGGATCTTTACATTTAGTAGGAGCAGCTCTTGCTATTTTAGATCCTAATTTGACTATGACTACTAAATTTTAACCCTTTCTTTTTGGCACAGCCGCGATCGCTTGTAAATACAGTAGTAGCGTGTAAAAGTTTTTTAAACTATTCTATTTTTTCATACGAAGATGAGCAAATATAAATGATCAACAACAAAACGTATTAATTTATATTTGAAAAATAATCAATTGCATATATTGTTAAATAATTCATTATTACAAAGTTTTTATCTAATAACTGCCGCGTATTATATATAGTCTATGAAAACAAAAAATTCGAAAAATAAGAAAACACGATTTGATCTTCTTCATTTTACACAATACTTCGTAGCCATGTCCTTTAGTAGCGATAATTGCAATGCACCAATGAGATATGAATGATGCATCCGTTCTTGTAACAATATTTCCTCACTTAAGTGACAAATGATTTCACAATTCTGTCTTTTTGCAATGATTTGTTGTTCCAACACGATATTTCAGATCTTCCCGCAGAAATTTGTTGAATTACATATAAGTCCGGTAACTCTTCACTATTGCTGCAAATCATTTATCATTGGATTTCAATACAGTTATCAGAAAATACTCCTCAAGCTTTCATGTTCTCATTATCATGTTTTATGGTAGAAATTTAGTTTCCGATATTATGATATGATCTGATTATTTTATTTATTGTATTATAATTATATATATATATATATGTATGTATATTTTATATTATATTAAATTTAGTACTCTTTACATCATACTTGGTACCTGTTAGACGTTTTACATACTTCTGATCGTTACTTCCAAATAATTAAAATCTGGATTCGTTTTAAGAAACACTTTCCATCAATCTGATGCTGTCTAATGCTGATATTTTTTTTTGTAAAGTTTAATGTAGCCTTCTTATTTTTTTTATATTCCAATTAACATCAACAAGATTTTCATTTTGTAATTCCAGTGAAATTGTTTACTGCAGTTTTTCATGGATCTACGGTACACTTTCTTATTATAATTTTGTCGATGTGTTTCGAAATTTTGTTGCGATCTACCACTCCAATTTTTGTTACATACCGAGTTTGTTTTAATTTATATATTTAGTAATAATACGATTAATTGTACTTTTTTTCCAATAAATAAAGTCATAGCAATATCACTAGAACACTTTCCTTCTGAAGAAAGTTTTAACATAGTTTAAAAGATTTAAATATTATTTTATTTCGACATTGTGATAGAAATAAGGCTAATTTTCGATTGTAAAGCATTTATTGAAACTAATACGAAAGAAAATGCAAGCAAATTGTGTGTGCAATACCACAGCCAAATAAAAGCTCCAATTTTTGTACATCAATAAATCTTGTTTCATGCAATTATACAAACAAAATAATATATTTCACGTTATTATCCATATTTTAGCTTTTTAAAATATTAACAAGCAAAGAAATTTTTAATATTCTATCAATTAATCAAAAACAATAGCTTAATTCAAAATTTTTGCACCTTACTGTATATTCTATATCAAACAATGCATCAGTTGAGACAACAGTTTCACTATGCAGTGCATACATTTATGTAATGAACAAATATATCTAGTTTTTGCAGAACTTCTTAATTCTTATTACATAATATTTAGTATAAAAAATCACTGCAATAATCAAAATGTACCCTAATCAATATGTGCAATTATGATAACTACTCTACTTGTTATTTTGATTACATATTAACATCCTTTACATGAATACCTCTTTATAAATGACGGTCAGAATGAAAGAGTAAAAATGTTTCAATATTAATGCATATAAAATAGAAAAATAAAATATTCTCCGGATCTGTAGAAATATTAAAATTATATTATATATTATAACTATATAATAAGAATACATTGCATTGTGATACATTGCATTGTGATATATGTTTATATAACAGAGCATTTGAATGACTATTTTTGGACAGTTTATTTGTACTTGAATATAAAGGTATTATTATTATTATTATTTTTAATAAAACTTGAATATATAAGATAACAATTTTGTTATAACAAACAGGACTACTACATACAATATTTTTTCTTCGTTCTTCTTTTTCCTCTTTTTTTCTTTTTCTTAGTACACGAGCATTAGAAATGAAATGTAAGAGAATTTATCTAATAACTTATTTTAAAACATCTTTGGATGATATTCTAATTCAGATTCAGCTTCTGTATCTGATAAACTAAGGGAAACACCTGTTCTTCTTCTATGACGATTTTCTTCAGGACTCTATGAGATTTCATATCATAGATATTATTTAATTAGATTTATATATATTAATATAAGTGCGCAAAATAGCATTTGATAAAGATAACTCACCTGATCCAGAATACCGGCAGTGGGTTCAGAAGCATAGCCTACTTCTTGTGCATCTTCCTCTAAATCTGCTTCGTATTCCTCCATTTCATCTGAATCGCTATCAATATCCAAATCTACGTATCGATTACCTCTTGATACTTTGCATACCATTTGTGCTAAATCAGTAAATGTATATGAAGAAATTGATAGTTGATTTTCCGCTGGATTTCTTTCCTTTAAAGCTTTAGCATTTTCTCTATACGCATTAAATCTTGGAAGAACTCCTACTTTAGATTGTCCTTCGAAATACGTTTTTCCTACACAGAGATTTTATGTATGTAAAATTGCTCAATAGGATGATGCACATGCATATATTTTAACCTTTAAGTTTTATTCTTACCATGTTGATATCCAACTTCTTTAATATCATCAAAACTGGCAAACTGAAGTGTCTTGAATTTGTCTATCGGAGGTCTGATATATTCGCAATAATCAGAACTCTTGACTTCTTCTAATTGTCTGACACAACTAACGTATGCTAATCGTGATTGGATGTCTGGTAAATTAGGAACTTTGACCGGTGTTGCGAATGGATTCCAACGTTTCCACAATAACCACCATCCGGACAAAGAATCACCATAGTTAGTTAAATCTGTATCATCTTGTGATCCAACGTCAATGGCCAAGATATGGTGAGCTCCTTGCCTCAGCATTTCGTCAGCTTAAATAAAAATGGATATTGATACTATCGGTAGGATTTTAATTAGGATGTTAACATAATAAAATGCAAGCAACTCTTTTAACACGCTTTTATATACCTGGCACGTTATTTACATAACACCCGTCGACCAAAAGATGCCCATCAAGAGGATCGCAAATAGGAGGAAAGACACCAGCAATAGTCATACTGGCTCGAATGTATCTCCATAGTAAACCTGAGTTGACTTAGCTATTCAGAATTTGATAAATGCATCTTTTATCAACGGGAGTGAGCTTATAATGTTTGTAAATTATTTTTTTGTTCAAATCACTAATGTAACTATTACAAGATTAACAAAAAAGTAATTCTTTTTCAACCGGCTTAAATTGAAAACAATGTGCACTTTTGCACAACCGTGTACGACAAAACAAAGTGTATGACAAACTCATACAGACTTTTTAAAAAAATGTTTTATGTAAAAACGAAGTAAATTTACTTATTAAATATATAAATCTATCATATTTAAATGAACCACCATTTTATATATTTTTATATAATAAATAAAATGATTAACTTTTCTTCTTTCGTATCTTTACTAAAAGCAGATTTATACGTTTTTACATAAACAGATTTGATTATATTATTGAAATATTACCTGGAAGGTTATTGACGTACCCGCCGTCGAGTAGGAGATGGCCATCAACAGGATCACACATGGGTGGCATATAACCAGATAAAGACATCGAAGCCCGAATGTAACGCCACAGCGATCCTAAACACGACGAATTATTTTCTTTTTTTTTTTAATACAATTTCCATTTGTACATATACCAAAAAAACTTCCTATAATCTCTTATATTAAAAAATATGATTATTGAAGCAAACACATTTGCAATATCAAGCAAAATCTTGCATTATGCAATTATGATGCTTCGTTATCATTATTTAAATAAGAGTATACAGGAAGAAGGTATTAATAATGATAAGTGTGTGAAAATCTCTTTAAGGAAACAAGTTATAAATTTTGCCAATTTATAATTCATCAAAAGCGACAAAACGGAGAGTACGTCAACAATAATTATTAAAAAAGCTCACTCCCCTAATTAAAGAATTTGCTACTTATAAATATTCTAGAATAACATATTCATAATTTATAGATATATATAGAGCAAAATAATAAATGAAAATATTATAAGCAGATATAAAAAAAAGTCTACAAGATTTAACTGTAAACTATTAAAGCTTAATATTTCAAAGTTTATATATATATTTGTTTAAATACATACCGTGGGTGTGCGTTCGCATACAAGAATCAGTAATATCGGTAGTTATGGTGAAAAATGGAAGCCATAGATCTTCTATATAAGTATCTCCAAAAGTTGTTTGAATAGTTTTATTAAAATCTTTTCCAGAGAACATCGATGTCATAGGATAAGTTAGATCAAAAATTTGTCTCCACCATTGAGTCATTTTCTACAACATAAGAGAATAGAAATCAAATAAATGGTATCTCATCCATAAGATAGAATAAGATATCAAATGAGATATTATTTTGTTTACCTTAGACCATTCGCGAGCCTTTTGCGTTGTCGTTGTTATATTTTTTTCCATACACCACAATGCACCCATAAAGGCACCGATACTGACTCCGCCAACCATATCTATAGGAATTCCAGCTTCTATAATAGCTTTGAGCATTCCCACATGTGCCGCACCTCTAGCACCACCTCCACCAAGTACTAAACCAACCGACGTGCCTGTTAACCAACGTGCCAATCTACTAAAATCGCTATGTACGTTTGGCTCGGACTTTAGTACTTTTGAGTATAATTCACTCTGAAAGAAATATACATATATTTGTATTATATTCATTATTATAACTTATTAAAAGAGATATATAATTAAGATATAATTACAAGTCTATATTGAGATTTCCTAGTAAACATTCGTTTAGGGCATTGAATATGATGATGACTGGAGACCCAAGATCTCATGTTTAACCATTGTACGGTATTTGTTGGTCGTTGGCCACTTTGCTCTTTATGTAAAAGTACTAACTCCTTTTGTGTACGCATTACTAAACGTTCTACCTCACGTTCTGTACGTCCTATAGACGGTGTACGATCACCTAAACCTACTATTAATATACAATCTGCTTGTCGTACACATCTTTGAGTCCATAATGTATAAGTCGAATCACATTGATATAAAGAAATTCGATGTTGATCTTCTTGTTGAGCTAGCCATGAAGTTAATCTATATTCATTCATAGGTTCCATAATTGTTGTACCTAAGGTCTGCACAATAAACATTGTTAATATCTATATTCATTATACAATTCTAAAAATTATATAATATATTAATAATAGAATATTTCTATGAGATAGTAATTGGGTAATTAGAAAAATAGAGTTAAATCTTCGAACTTTATGAATGTATAGATGCATCCAATTAAAGCTATTGGTGTGGATAATGGGTGTATATATGAGTTCACAAAAAATTACTAGCATGAATTATGAACTCATTTATACGTTTTAAATATCCATTTTTAAGTCTTATATGTAAATGTATTAATTTTAGTGGATTTGAAATAGAGCGTTTTTCATATTATTTATTATATTTATTATGTTTAGTTTTTATATCTTATTTTTAAATTTTTTATCCTTTTTAATAAATTAAAATTTATATTCTTTAAATATAAATAAAATATTATATGAAATATACGTTGTATTTATATTTCTATATTATATTCTATATTTGCAGTAATTAAAAAGTATTTTGTCCATACAAAAAGCTTTGGTAGGAAGTAATTTCAAGTTAAACAAAGTTTTAAAAAGTACCTTTTTAACGACATCTGAAGTAAGTCGTAGACAAGGTCCAATAGCGCATAATGAATGATATAATTCGTATGTAAATGCACTTAAAGGGACATCGTCTGATACAGGAACTATAGCTACTGTCGAAAAATTGACTTGTGCCGGTCTCGCATCGACTGTTGCAGCTGCTCTTCTACATAATAGTAAAATATCATTTAAAAAGTAAGAAAAGTGTTAATATTAATGGAATATATTTGATAACTTACTGCGTATCATTACTACTATTTTTAGTATGCGGTTGTTGCCATGTACCCAATATTCGGTGACCGAGTAAATTAATAAGCCTTGTAACAACGATAGGATATCGTAATTTAATAACATTAAATAAACCTTCAGGTAACTTGGCCAATTCAGAATCTCTAACTGCCATAACAGTAGTAGATCTAGGAGTTTGCGTGACCATTTCAACGATTCCCACCAAATCTCCTTTTCCATATTCAGCGACAAGTTCTTTTTTCCCATTTTTATAAGTAATCACAGATCTTAGTCGTCCACTTAAAACTATAAAAGTTGAATCTGATTCATCTCCTTGACGATATACGGCTCTTCCGCTTTCTAGAAATAGCCAATCCAAAGCAAAATCCACCTAAGGATACAATGGAAATTTCAATATAATTCTGATAAGATATTTTGTTTGTTCAAATGAATATGAATAAATACAAACCTGTCTTACAAAAGGACTTAATCGCCTAACGACTGTATGAGCTACATGTAATACTACAGTAGGCTGTTCACGCATGATTGCGAAAAAAGTTGATTTACTAAGTAAGGCAATTCGACTAAGATGTTTTGCTCTAATTGTATAAAAAGAAGGTTCTCCGGTTAATACCGCTAAACCTCCAACTATTTCTCCTTGATACGCTTTAAACATATGAACTTCTTGACCCGCGTCACGTCCTTCTGCAACACGTTGACTGACTAAGAGAGAACCAGATAATACATATACAAGTGCAACGTCCTAGGAAAAAAAAAGAAAACAGAAGAAAATACTTTAGTACATTAAATTAAGTCATCTTAATGAAAGATATATATATAAATCTCTATGAAAATAAATTCCATACTTTATTAGATTCTTCTTTCATCAAATATGTGCCTGCTGGTACTTCTTTGAGTTGAATTTTTCCATCTTTAAGAATAGTACTATCTTCCAATCCAAGTTCTTTAACAAAAGCTTCGGTTGCAATTTCAACAAGCTGTGCATCATCCAACTGTTGCGTCGTATCATTGATTGATCTCTTTTTGGGTGGATGAACGCTTCCTGTATGTATAATGTCAGGCTGAGTACCTTGCGAATGAGAACTTTGCAACGATTGATAACCCCCTGTCATCGGTGAATTCGTCCAATGAGAATCACATTCTGGTACAGTAACTGAAGTACTTTGACCCGACTGCGAATTGGGAGTTTGATTTTTCCACTCGTGAGAATTTTTAGATCTATAATATGAAATATGTAATCAAGTTTCACATTGATACATATTATAAGGTGATAAAAAAAAGAATTAAATATTTGTGAACCTATATAGATTATAGTACTTATTATAAGTAAGAGTACAAAATGACTAACATGGGTCTTAAAATCTTAATATGCACAAATCATAAATATTTGATATTATTGCTTTCATTTGAATCATCATCCATGAATCATGGATTAACGTACATTTTCAAATATTTCTTTGAATAAGTATATTTCTAATCAAATTTCTTTGTGTATATTTACTACGTTGCCAAGAGACTTGCTTACGATATTGAATATTCATAAATAACAAAAGTTTATTTTTGTCGAAAAGATTGATTTTAGAACCCACGTTAATTAGACATTTTTACTCAATTCGATGAGTACTATATAAGCTCTTTAAATATTAAACCTCTTTTTTCTATCACCTTACATATATATAGATTTTTGGATAAAATACCTTCTATTGACTATTATAGGTACTGGCTGAGAAGCATTAGAATTAGCACTTTCTCTGTGTATACTACCATTATTTCCATCGCACTGATCAATGTTAACTGGAATTGTAGTACTAGGTATAGGTTCTGTAGTGGATGTAGCAAAATTCTCTCTTGTTCTTGATCTAACAGGTGAGCCAGAAAATGAACTTTGCTTTTTTTTGTGAGATCCTTGATTAACCAATTCAGCAGAAAGACCCAAATATTGATGTAATGCGGTAAATGTTACGCGTTGAAGGCGAACCATAATGACCTGGATAACTCGAACGAATGCATCTGGATGATCCTGAAAAACCTGTCAGGTAAATAAATATCAAATACAAGTATATAAAATTTTACTTATTTTTTCTATAAATAAAAACGACTTATTTAACCTCTTGAAATGCGCTCATTGGCAATTTGACGACGATAGAATCTTCTACGGCTCTTGCAGAAACAGTTTTATAAGTACTCGTGTGACCAGTAAGTACGTCAGTAAAACTTAAAAGACTGGTTACCGATTCTCCAGTTTTTACTAATTTTAAAGAAATTTGAGAACCATCGGGTCCTGTTATATATACGTTAACAAGACCCTGTTGTACGATGAATAGATTCTCGTCAGGATCTCCGATTTTAAATAAAATACTTCCAGCTGGTAAATTCATAATTTCCGTATGTTTACATAATTTAAGAAAAACAGGTTTCTCAAAATGGCCAAATACTCTGATGCTTTGTAACATGTACAAAGCATCTGGAGGTACTCTATCTCCTGGACCGTAATCTTCTTCTAGATATTCTGCTGGTGGCTCTAATACCTGTATCACATTAAACATAATATTGTATTATGTTAAATATAATAGTAAAATAGGTAGAATAAAATGAACAATAATATTTCAATAAAACATAACATACTTTTAATTGTTGAGGCACGGATTCTTTTTTCAATTGTAGGAGTCTTCGAGCAAATCTCATAACGGCTCTTCTTTTCTTTCCTTGACCAGTAGGATGTACTTGTCCGCCTATAGATTTGACTTTGCGTAACATTTTTCTTCCATAGAACAAAACTTTGTCTCTTTTTCTGAATCTTGGTTTGCCATTGCCTACTACAAATTCTTTGACCGGTAGGAACTCCTTGTTTTTCCATTTTCGTATAATGACAATCATTATCACCAATAGAATCAACATAATAGATGAAATAATGATGTATAGGGTCTTTGAAGTTTGATATCCTTCGATAAATGATCCGATCCATCTTGAAAAAGCGTATGATCCCAAATTCTTATTGATATTGCTAAATAATTCAACTACCTATAAAAAAAATTAAATTAGTATTAGATTAATAGTAATGATAATAAAAAAAAAACTTGTCTTTTTTTTTCTTAAAATATAAAATACTTTAATATATCATTTAAAACATTGAATTAAATGTCATTGATTAATGCATCACGAAAGTGCAATACAAAGGAAATATAATACGAAATTCAAAAAGATAAATTATCGTAATAAAATGAATAACAATAATAATAATATTGACAAGTGTTTAATATGTACAACCTCCATAATGAGTAGTCATTTCTTCTTAGCCTCCGCTCTTCCACAATGTAGAAATATGAATGAGGAACGTCACGAATACATAAGTGTAAAATACAGACGAAGCAGTGCAGATTGAAGGAGACACTGCAATAAAAGCGATAGTGTGTGCAATATGAACAAAACAAATCAATTCTTAATCAGTAACCTTTGATACTTCGTTCGAGTTAACCAGCGCCATTTTGGTTATTGCGTGTACATATATATATATATATATATATAGATATATACATATTGTGTGACACATGTAAATATACTGCGTATGTGTGTATTTATAATGCAAACAATGTGCGTCAAATTCTAATGTAAATCTTCAAAATTTGATTATATAAAATATCTATGAAGGTTTTTGAAACCTTGACTCATATAAATGATAACAAAATTTTAAATATCTAATCGTTAATGTATGAATAATGATAATAATATTTAATATTGATTACGTACATTAAGCATTAGTTCCTTCTTATATTGACCAGTTTCTCAAGCTTACATTGACGTTTGATATGTTCCTAAGTATTTTCATTTTTAACAGTCCTGTAAAATATTAAGAGCTACCATAATAAGAAAGATAAAAAAAATTGCATATAATTTTTGCAATGTTTTCCCCTCTGGATAGAAGATAGAATATATCCAATGTAACCCCTGTTAGTCATAAAAGCTAATAGGGGTTTAATATTAACTCGAAGTAGTGAAAATTTCTATAAAATTCTTTGTTTCATTTCATTTCTAATTAATATTTATAAAAATACATTTATATAATATGCATTGGATAATATTTCACACACGAGTAATTAAATATTATTATAAATAATATTATAATCAACGTATTAATTTTTTCGTTAATTTTCTTTCTTAATTCAAACGATTATTTATTCAAAATTACATTAATATTTCATATATAAATAAATAACATTAAGGGTATGTTACAAATAAATGAAATATGTATATATATATATATATATANTATATATATATATATATATATATATATATATATATATATATACGCATGCTTAATCACGATAGGGATTGGCTGATAAAAATTTAAAAATAATTTTATAGAATTGATTAAAAAGATAAGAAAAACAAAACAATTCTTTTTCTTTCTTTTATTAAGAAAAAAAATAAAAAACAATTACTAATATAAATCAAAGAATATTCATAATTTGAAATAAAAACGAAATTGAATAATCGACCAATCGAATAACAAGATCGGCCATATTATGCGCAGAAATGAAAGTTAGTTGAACGCGTCGCCGATAGAGTGAGCTCGAGTCGAATTCCGGGCGGTTTTAGACTGGCAGTCGGGTCCGGTCAGTCAGTGATTACGGGGCGACATGTTAGACGTATTTCTGTGATTGCTCGCGCGCGATAGTATTCGTGGCGCGACTTTACATGTTTCTCTCGTGCGTGCCAGACGATAGACGTGTCCGAGGACAACGTCAATTAATGTGAACAACTGTGTTTGTGTAAAAGGAGAAGATACTCGGAGAGTTTGGCCTTACCAAACATGAGCTGGGGTACCGAGCTTTGGGTAAGCTCCTTGTCTCTTTATTTCTTACCTATATATATATACACATACACACACATATACGCATTTCTTATAGATTGTCTCTTTTTATCCCTCTCTCTCTCTCTTATTTGTTCACTCCGGTCTTCAAGTATCTTTGTATCTCACTTTTCTCGTTTGTTGAAGGTAAGAGAGAGAGAGAAAGAGAAAGACATATATGTAAGTATATATATATATATGTACGGTCATTCCTCCTTCTCTCGAGCTACTTCTGGAGAAACAGTCGTCCGGGCGCGTTCCGCCGACACGTAATCATGGTGTGTATCCGAAAAACCAGTTCGCGGTACCTCGTTCTGACTACTTGGCCGCACAGGAGTGTTTCGCCTTTTTGGTTGCTAGCCGTGGGCGATGTACCTCTCTTCGTTTCTCTCTGTCTCCCTTTTTCTTTCTTCCTTTCTTCCATCTCGCTTTTACCTTCTCTCACTCTCGTTCCATCTATCTATCTATCTATTTATTTATCTGATTCCTTGTTCATCTGAACCGGGCGGGTGTGTACTATGTACTCCGTCATGTACGTCATGTTCGTCATATTCGATTTGATTTTGACTAAATCGTCATGATGTGTGTGTGTGTTCTTCCTTTTGCTTCCCCATTTCCATAAAAATCTTCGAAAGGATTTTTACCGTGAGGCGTAAACTTGCCGCGCTCATTTTCCTTACACCCCAACCAATGTCACAAGTCATGTTTTTTTTTCTCTATGTGTGTGTCTCTCTCTCTCTCTCTCTCTCTCGATTATCTTCAAAGAAAATTCTTTTCCTTCTTAAGCTTAGAATCCGTTCGGAGAAACGAACGATTTTTGTTCCTTTCTTTCATTATTTCTTTCTTTCTTCCTTCCTTACTTCCTTCCTTCCTTCCTTCATTTCATTTCTTTTTTTCTCTTTTGGAAGAAAACTTGTTCAAAGTTCCAACCACGTCAAGGTGAACTTTCAACTGGATTTTTTTTTATTGATTTTTATTTTATCTCGTCTCTTATGTCTTATTTTATTTTTCATATATATATATGTGTGTGTGTATATATATGTATTATATGTATATATATATATTTGTTCTTATACAGAAAGACACTCCCCCGCCCTCTATGTAATAAATTTTGTGCGTTGCATGAATTTAAAAGAACAATAAAACTATAATTAAATTAATAAATAATAAAATTATTTATTAATTATAATAAAATTTTTATTTTCTTTTAATTGCATAAATCGGTGATTCATTTTTCTATTTAATTTCTTGTTAAGAGAAATGTTTAAAACTCGTCATTAAATTTCAATTAATGATAAATTTCACATTTATTTTTCCAATTTTTTTCAATTTCTTCATTCATTCTTTCAACTTATTTCATACTATTGGAAAATTATTATTTTTTATTTTCAGATATTTAAATAAGATGAAAAAAAGGATGCACATATATATATATATATATATATATATATATATATAAGCTTATTTGGTCATTGGTCTTTTGATTGGTACAAACTGTTTACCATTACTAAATTACATTAGAAAATTATAAGAAATTAAAAAAAAAAACACTAGAAAATAAAAATATGAAATAAAAACTACATATATATAGTTTTAAAAAGTTTATATATATAATATATGTTTTAAAGCTTATATATATATATACATAATATATTAGCTTATTGATCGATAATATATATATATATATATATATATTCTATCTTTATACATCTACTTTTTAATTGAAAAATGTGAATAACCCTCTTTATTGGAAATAACAACAATATTTTAATTCTTCAATAAAATAATTATGCCACTAAATGTAAACTTTTAAACGAATTTTTTTTGAATCTTTTTTCATTTTTAAAGAGAGTTTAATAATGCAACATTGTGATTTGAGTTTATTCAGAGATACAACACAACCTTGAAGTATTCACATACTTTCATGTATAAAAAAAAATGCAATTTTTCCTTCTTTTTGTTTTTTAACAATTTTTTTTCCATCGCATGTGTTAATTATGCCTAACTAATAACTCCTCCTCCCCTCTAACAATGGGGTAATTTTTAGTTCGCGTATTTAAGGGTGGGTCCCAATATAATTTTTTTGTTCGTTTTTTTTGTTTTTGTTTTTGATCCTACAATTCTTATACATTCGAAGATTTTTTTTGTAGTTGATTTGAATATTTCTTATATCCATTTACGTTCGATAAAGTGACCACGTGTATTGATTATTATTAATACAGTATTGGTTTTTGGTCATTGGTCTTTTAATCGGTGCAAAATGTTTACCAGTACAGTTTAGGAAATTATAATAAATTAAAAAAACAAAATACTAGAAAATTAAAATATAAAATAAAAATTATATATATATATATATATTTATTTTATTAATTACTCATCAAAGATCGGTGCAAAATGTTTACCAGTACAGTTTAGAAAATTATAATAAATTAAAAAAAACAAAATACTAGAAAATATACTAGAAAATTAAAATATGAAATAAAAATTATATATATATATTTATTTATTTTATTAATTACTCCTCAAAGGTCGGTGCAAAATGTTTACCAATAAAGTTTAGGAAATTATAATAAATTAAAAAAAAATCAAAATACTAGAAAATATACTAGAAAATAAAAATATGAAATAAAAACTACATATAAATATATATTTTATTAATTACTCGTTACACGAAGAAATTTTCAATATTATATTTCATTATTAAATAATATATGTATATATAGAAGATATAATAGAATAAAATTCACAATACAATTTTCAAACACCTGAACTATAGTTTTATACCTGAATAAGGGAGAATTTGTTAAAATATTTTTCATTGTTTTTCTTTTCTTTTCTTTTGTTCTTTCTCTTGCAAAATTATGTTTATAATCTATAATATAATAATACTATATTATTAAGAGATTAATATGCGTTAGAGTCATTAGTTTGGGTAATCCCTGAAATACTAAATCGTTTTATATTGTCTCTTGAGAGGTTGTTGAAAAAAGTAACAAACAAAAAGAAAAAAGAAAAAATATCCCAGTTTTAAAATTGAAAAAAAAAAAAAAAATAAATGATCAACTTAATGTTAAGCGAAAAGTTATTAACACTAGATATACAGAAATTAGTCATTTTGATTGGTCGGGCCATTTTAATTCAAAATTTCTACTTCATGCAACATTTGATTTTTGTAAATAATTAAACGTTTTGTTATTTAAAAATGTCTATAAATCTATTTATCTATTAAAATTATTATTGTTAAACATTTTTTGTTATTTTTTAAGAGTAAATAAATAAAGACTGCAAGCCTCAAAAAGCATTTTTTTTTATACACCAGACATTTTGACTAGTGTGGTAGAAATAGGTATACTGAAATTGGTGGTATATCTAGTGTAAACTACATTTTTTTTTTTTTTTAACCTCAAATGATTTATATAGTTTATATTCTGTAAAATTTGATTTCAAAAATTCCCCCACTTCCCTCCAAAAAAAAAAGATCCATGTTTCGTATAAAATATCAACATAATAATGCGTGAAAGTATTAAACATATAACACAAAAGTATACTTTATTCAAAATTGATTTTTTTCCCTTATTAAAAAATTTCTTTGACGATTAATTACTTCTAAGGATTAGAATTATTAATGTGTTAGTTAATGGATATAAATTTTACATAGACGATATATTATATTGAAAAAAAAGATTATATAAGAGAAAATCAAAGACCCAGTATATATTATTTATAGTTGTGTGCGTTGAAATTTAATGCGATAACGTACACAGTACATATATATATATATATATATATATATATTTTTTTTTCTTTGTTTCTATAAATAAAAATCAACGAGAGATATTTATTTATTTATACATTTGTATCATCGGATATAATTACATTTATTATACGTAGATTTATAACATTTTTTTTTTGTTTTTTTTTTTCTATATCGTTGTAAAAATATAATTTTATTAAAAGTAGGGTTATAATTATATTTTTATGCAAATTGTTAAAATAATGGACAATATTTTGGGATTTCATTTATTTTCATAAATATTATTTATATTGTGTATCTTTTTGTTTTTTTATTAGTATATCGGAAAGAATAAAAAAAAAGAAATTTTTTTAAAAATGGCGCCTAGGCAGCAGCAGCAGCAGCAGCATCTTTTTTTTTCAAAATGAAGGAAAACGTTTGAAAAAAGATGTCTTGTTTTTAATATCAATTATCAAAAAAAAAATAATAATAATTACATGGGGACCTTTCTGGCAAAAATTTTTCTTTTTTTGACAAAATGGAAATAAAAATTATATTTTTGGACAAAATGACAGAAAAATATTTAATTGTTGACTAAATGGCGGGAAAAATATTTAATTTTTGACTAAATGGCGGGAAAATATATTTATTTTGACAAAATTTTGGGAAAAATATTTATTTTTGACTAAATACTGGTAAAAAGTATAATTTTTGACAAAATGGCGGGGAAAAATTAAAATTATTCCTTTTTTTGTACCGACTTCATATGGGTGTTAATTCATTAACCCTTTGCCACTCCTATGTGTCGAGTATGACTCGACATCAGTTTTTATCTCCATTGTCGAGTTTCATTCCATGATTTTACTCTTAATAAATTGATTAAATTACCTTATTTTTTTTAGTTAAAGTCAATTTCAAATAAAACATTTCACAGCGTTAAGGTGGTAAGGTTAAAGGGGGGGAGGAGGGTATTCCAATGTGCGAGCATCCGTTTTCGAAATGATTTTTGAGAAGTTTTAATTTGAAGAAATGTTTTCATTTTTACAATGTTGATTTCTTGCAATTATCATATATTTATTGAAAATGTTTGAAGTAACATTTGAAATTGTTTACAAAACATTTTATTTAACAATTTCTACTGTATTGTGTAATTAGAAATTGTGTAATGATGTAATTAGAAAACAATTTTTCTTATTTTATTTATTAATAAGTTAAATTCATAATGAAAATATAGTAATTAACTGTTCATCTT